CATCTAGATCTGCTCTTTGTCCTGAGTGTGGAACACACACAGCTTGAACGTCTGTAACCTGGAAGCCCAGAATCCAAAATGCCTCCAGATGGAGCCACCAGGAGTGGAAAATTCCACACCTTGAAACTTTGTTTCATGTACTCCATCATTTTAAATGTAAATGTGTAAAGTCACCTTTGGAGGGGCCCAGTTTCTTCTGTTGGGGGGGACGGGAGTGCTGAGACTCCCTCCGCAGTCTGGAGGCCAAGGCTACCCTAACCCCTAACCCCAGACCTAAGCTGCGTCCCTATCTGATAGACATTTTGAAGCGAATCAAGTTTTAATCCTCCCCTCTCCAACAGGATCGCAAAGTACAATGATCCTAAACTAAATGTGTATGAAATAAATTGACTTTATGTTTACATCTGGCTCCTATCCTACAGATCTGCATTATGTGAATATAGATATGCCAAAAATCCCCTAGAAAAAACCCAACAAAACAAAACCCTAAACAGTTCTGGTCCCAAGCATCTCAGATAAGGGATATTCAACCTGCACTCCATCATTATCTGCTTTGCAGAGAGAGAGGAGGAATGAGGGGTGATGATATCAATTAGTAGGTGGGAGCAGGATCCTCCAGTTAGCAAGAGTAGACACTGGAATCCTTAAATACCTTAAATTCCCTATATCAGCAACACCCCACCCGCTTCATCAAAGGCACCCAGGCTTATTGACTACAGCAACAAAGGCATTCCTGGTCCACGCCCACTCCCCTCAGTCAGTGTACCAAGGATACACCCTCACCTACCCACCTACCCACTCCTGCACCCTTCACGGCTAAACTTTGAAGGAACTGTCTGCCTTCACTGCTTCCACTGGCCATGGCAATGTGGCTTCCACCCCCACCATGCCACCGGACGAAGGTCTCCAGCCAATAAGTGCAGTGCACACGACCCTGTTCCTTGGTGGACATGAGCTTGCAGCCTGCCTCTGATCGACTGCCTGCCCCTCTGCTGGCTGGTTCTGCTCAGGACACTTCTCTTTTTGTTCTCCTCCAACTCTTCCAGCTATATCTTCTCCTTGGACAGGCTTCCCTCTGGCCTTCCTTGATGTTTTTACTTGAATGAATGAATGAATGAGCCATGTCCTATGGGGCAAGGGCAGGTGGAGGAAATAGGCAGACTTCCCAGGGGACCTGGCCTCTGGAGCAACTTTCCTGTACCTGGTGCATCCAGAATCAGGTGGCCTGGAAGGACTCTGATTGCTTCCCCCACCCCTCTCTGTTCTGATGCAAGAAACACCAGGGCTTTGGAGGTTCAATCTGCTTGCTTTACAGGCTGTCAGGGCATTTTAACATCCTTGTCTGATGGTGTTGGGGAGCAGGGTGTTGCTAAGCAGGGAACAGGTGTGCAGACAGACATTGGCCAGTTTGGATCCCACCTTCTCCTATCACACAGTTCCTGCCTTTGCTATGACTTGGGGATCATGGTGTCCTATGTATGGACTGTGGGGCTAAAGTAAGATGATACAGAAGAAGACATCTGGCCACATAGTTGGGGCTAAATGAGTGGTAACTGGGAGCAAGGGGCACCCAGCTGGCTCTCGAGAATGAAAACAACGAGCAGAAGATTCTGGAAGGAACTTTGTGTATAGAAAAGAAGCTGTGGCTTTCTAAAGATGAATGAATGAGTGGGTGAATGGGTGAAACAAAAGCAGGAGGACATGACAGGGGTGTCAGCTTGGTGCTCTCATAGCCTTAAGAGCACTCTGTGCACCTGCATTTCTTCTGTCATTTCTATAAGATTTTGAGTTTCTGGGCTGTGCCTGTCATGTCTGCGTCCTCTGGCCATCCCTTGGCATTCAGTAGGTGCCCCAAATGTGTGTAGACTTTATCCTTGCAAAAGACACCCTGGGGAGATTCCAGGGAAATAGAGAAGCTGAGGCACAGACATCAGCAGGCCCCTTTGTTGGGACTCAGACATTCTGTGGCCAGCTTCCTGTGTGAGGTCAGGATCAAGTGTGTTTCCTTCTCAGCCTGTGGGTAGGATCCGGGCACCATAGCAGCTCTGTATCAAGGAGTGAATGGGCCCTGCAAAATGGCTCAGTGGCTAAGTCCTTGTCTTAAAGCTGCTGGAATCTCATATGGACATTAGTTTGTGTCCCAGCTACTCCACTTCCTATCCAGCTCCCTGCCTGTGGTCTGGGAAAGCAGTAGACGGTGGCCTGAAGTCTTGGGACCCTGCATCTGCGTGGGAGACCTGTAAGAAGCTCCAGGCTCTTGGCTTCAGATCAGCTCAGCTTCGGCCATTGCGGCCACTTGGGGAGTGAACCAATGGATGAGGATCTTTGTCTCTCCTGTCTGTAAATTTGATTTGATTTTCTAATAAGAAAAAAAAAAAGAATATCTTTAAAAAATAGCAAAAGGGGCCCAGCGCGGTGGCGCAAGTGGTTAAGGTCCTCGCCTTGCACGCCCGGGATTCCATATGGGTGCTGGTTCTATCCCGGCAGCCCCACTTCCCTTCCAGCTCCCTGCCTGTGGCCCAGGAAGGCAGCAAAGGACAGCCCAAAGCCTTGGGACCCTGCACCCATGTGGGAGACCCGGAAGAGGCTCCTGGCTTCGGATCGGCATAGCATTGGCCATTGTGCTCACTTGGGGAGTGAATCATCGGACAGAAGATCTTCCTCTCTGTCTCTCCTCTCTGTATATCCGCCTTTCCAATAAAAAATAATAATAATAATAATAAATCTTTTAAAAAAATAAAAATAAATAAATAAATAAAATAAAAAATAGCAAAAGAAGGAGCAGAATAGGAGGGAGAAGCAAGGCTTGGGGGCCTCTTCCTGGGCTCTCCTAGGCTGGGTGTCCTTCAAACTGGGCAAACTCTGACCTTTCCTGGGAGTGGCTGGGGGCTGGAGTGGCCCACCTGCAGCCCTCCAGGCAAATGCTTCTTGTGCCTTCACAGAAAGATCTGCAGCAGGTGGCACGGAGCAGGTGCTGACTAAATAGTGGTTGTGCTAATGACTGTTTATGTTAGATGTATCTGCTGACATCTCTGAAAATCTAAGAAGCCTGGAGAAGGCCATGGGTTAGGGTTAGGATCTGGAAGATGTCTTGCCTAGCAGGGTTTTCTACAGTGGACCTGGGGTGTTCCTGTGAAGAACAGAGCTTAGAGCAGCCATCAGGAAAGGAGAGGATGAAACATCCAGGAACAGGTGCCCTGCTCTCCTCTGTGCCTGCTGTTGAAGGGTGACTGTGCAACCCAAAAGTGCACCTGTGCCTCCTCCTTCCTGTTCTGCCCTGGATCATGTCCTGTTAGGCTGAGGGTTATTTCCTGGGGACACAGCAGTGGTGTTTGGAGGGGAGGCAGGTGTCAGTGCCTAAGGAGATGGCAGGCAGTGGCCAGAGATGAAAGCCCTAACCAGACCCTCAACACCGGCAGGTGCAAGGGGGGTTTGGGACTGCCCAATCAGGTGACTCAGGGGCTCAAGAATGCTGTGTTGGCAGCAGAAGAAACCAGGAGCCTCCATTGCCACCATTCTAGAAGTTTTTAAACCTGCTGAATGCGGGAGCCTAGTATGGGTTTTGTATCTGTGCCTGCAGCATCCAGCCTTCAATGGGGTGCATCTGTGGGGTGGGGAACTCCCTGTTTCCATGCGTGTTCAAGTGTCAATAGATGGGAGCCCTTCTGGAAGTGCACTAAGAGAATCATAGTGAGACCAGGAACAGCAGAACCCCTCCCCCAACATGGGTGTGTGGCTAAGGAATCTGATATGGGGTGAACTCTGTGGGTGCAATAAGGTAACTCCCTTCCTAGTCCTTTCCTGCAGGGACTGCCCAGAAAAGAGGGGGATGGGCTACCTCTAATGGTGAAGCCCTCCCTTTGGCCCCCCAAGATATTTTCCTGTTAATAATGTTAAACTTGGGACCTGGCTGCCCTTGGCTCTTCTCTAAGATCCTCCCTGCTTTCCTGCCACAGAAGCATTGGCCCTTCTCTGTGGCCGCGGACAGGGAGACCACATGGCTAGGATGGGGACAGATGGAACCCAACCCAGGCTCCCTGACTCATATCCCATCCTTGGCTGATGGGTGCACTGGATTTCCATTACAGCCACCTGCAGAGAGAGCTCAGCTCCTTTCCTGACCCGCACCTGGGGAGGGGCAGTCTGCTCCCTTCATCAGGGGAGCTGGGATAGGGAAGGGTCACACCCTGACTGCTTCCCATGGGAGGAGAGGCTTTAAATTATGAGAAAGGTGGCTAACATCAAGATGGTGCTCTGGTCCAGATACTTGTTGAGGCCAGGAAGCACTGAGGGGTGGGCACGGAGTGGGTACAGGGTGGGTCGACGCTGTGTTTTCTGATGCAGACCAGCTTCTTGCAGGGGGCGGGAGGGGCCGAGGGAAGGGTGGAGCTGCTTTGCTTTAGGGCCTAGGTTGAAAGAGGGAGGAGACTGGGCGAGTGTGTTCTCCTTTACCACCAGAGGCAGAAACCCTGCAGCCTTGCCGCAGCTCTCGCCATGGCCAGGTGATTTGGTGCCTATGTGTTACAGTGGGGTGAGTGGTAGAGGGGAGCCCCACTCCTGGGGTTACTTCATGCTTGGAGCGGTCCAGGATCCTGGATGGAAGGTGATGTGTAGCGAGTTATCGGGCAATTGTGCTTAGAGTGCTTGAGGCAGGGTGTGGCCCTGTTCCATTGTAGCCCCCACTCCCACCTTGTGTGTGACTGGGCCAGCTCCTTTGGGTGAATGGTGACCATAATGTGTCACACTCAAGTCATCAACTAGCACAGCATCAGCCTTCTGAAACTTAGTCATCCAGTTTTTTGGAAAGTCCAGAAGGTTCTAGAGATCAGTTAACCCCCTCCCCCTCCCCCTCCCCCTTCCCCTTCCCCCTCCCCCACACTGAGCCACCTAGCTATCTCCCAAGGCCTTCGCTCAAGACCTCTCCCAGAGGCCCCGCCCTGCCCCTCTCCCTGCCGGAAGCCACTCCCCGAGCTGACTTTCCACACCCTTATGTCTACAGGCTGCTGAACAGAATGTCCGCGGAGGACCGGCACCTGGGCTCCAGCTGCGGTTCTTTCATCAAGACAGAACCTTCGAGCCCGTCCTCGGGCATGGATGCCCTCAGCCACCACAGCCCCAGCGGCTCTTCCGACGCCAGCGGTAGCTTTGGCCTGGCCATGGGTGCCCACGCCAATGGTCTGGACTCGCCATCCATGTTCGCAGGAGCCCCTGGGATCATGGAGGACTCGGCTATCAAGTGTGAATACATGCTCAACACGATCCCCAAGCGCATGTGCCTTGTGTGCGGGGACATTGCCTCTGGCTTCCACTATGGTGTGGCCTCCTGCGAGGCTTGCAAGGCCTTCTTTAAAAGGACCATCCAAGGTGCGTGGTGAACAGGGTGGGGCCCTGGGGCACAGGGTATGGGTCCCTCAGGAGACCTCCTGGGGTCAGTGAGTGGCCAGGTCCTGTGGCCCTTGGAGTCAGGCTTGGGAGAGCTCTGTGTATGTGTGATGGTGGAGACAGGAACTCATGTTGAGAGGGCTGGGCTGATTAAAATGACACGTACCCTGTGAGCCTAAAGAGAAGCCACACAATGCATGGGGCTCCTTGCAAACCTGGACCCCTCAAAAGGTGTAGGTTTTTGCAGAGAGAGAAAAACAAAAACAACCAGTAACATTGTTTGTTCTGTGATTCTAGACAGGACTCTGTTTTTGATCTTTCTCAGTTGCACCCATAAGATGTGATGGATATTTCCTTGCCAAACACCTGGGCTTGTCCACATCTCCACGGAAAGCCACACTGCTTGGATCCTCCTGGGGTTGGTTTCTTTCTCTCTCTCTCTTCTTGTCAGTGTATTGGCTTATCAGCTGGGGTTGGTTTCTTTCTTCTTGTCAGTATATTGGCTTATCAGCTGAATCAGGTTTTCCTTTGGTTGTGAAGTGAGCGGCAGCCTCTCCCCTATGGGTGCTAAGAAAGGTGTGCAGGAGCTGCCAGGAAAGAGAGGGTTCTACTATGAAGTCGCCTGCAGCAGTATTGGGGTGCCATGATTGCTGTGCCCCTCTTAGGGCTGGTGGCCAGGTTCATGCCCTGGACCAACTGCTCCTCACAGGACAACATTATAACTGCTGTGGGCCGTGGGCCGAGCCCTTGTTTCATTTAGTACGTCAAGTGTCTGATGAGCATCGTTAGGCACCAGGCATGGTTCTAGACTCCCTGTTCAGACAGGTGAAGACCAGCCAGATCCAGAAAACCAGGGACACCTGTCGGGCCCCACATCAGGTTTTTCCTCCTTGCCTCCCCCTCCCCCACTTTCCTCTGCAAGAGGCCAAGTTGAGCTTCCCTGTTTCTTCATTGAAAAGATTTAAGTGGCTTCAAATGGTGATCTGTTGATTAAGCCAATTGAGAGCATTAAGATTGAGCAGGCTGCTAGCTACAAGTGCACTGATAGAATGAGGTGCTTCTCCGAACCAGTCAGCTCCTGACACTGTGTTCTAGCAGAACTGTGGGCATGCTGCTCAGTTTCTTTCTGGGCTTCCATTTCTTGTGAGGTTGAGCTCTTACCCCTACCTCCCACAGAGCTGTGAAGACAGCTAAGTGAGCCAGTGTGAAGAAGATGGGCTGTAGCTTGGCACCTAAGTGCCGCATGGATGCTTCCAATGATTTTTCCTTTATCAATAGCTCTTAAGACATTATTTAGTAGCAGGTGCCTGGCTTGCTTTGTCTTACAGGACAAGCTTGTGTAGTCTGCGGACATGTAAATTATTGAGTTACTGTTTTGATCTGGCAACGTTTGCAGGACTTTTATACAGAATATTTGAAATGAACTCTTTTAAAAACTGGTGGACCTCAAAGCAGTGCAAGGGTAGACCCTAAAACCCCACATTTCCCTTCCTTTGTTTATCCCCGAAGGAGCCTTGTTACCACCTGTATTCAGCCAATGTGTGCTAAGCAGCTTCTCTCTCGGGGTCTGTGCTAGCTAGCCTCTTGTGCGGAACCATGGGTGCTTCCTGTATTTCCCCTGTGTCTAAGCAGGAAAGCCCTACACCTCTCGTTGGAATGCATTAGGGATCCTGTCATCTCTCAGGTTTGGGGACCTCATTCTGACAGTTTTTACATGAATGGCTGGATGTTTCACAAACATACTGTTTAAAACAATCTACATTTCTGAAATAGAAACTTTTTTATCCCCCGCCCGAACCCGGAGGTAGTCCTGGTGAGCATGCCATGACTTGATGTTTGAGATCCACAATTGCTTTTGTAGGAGACAGTCACACTTTTCTTTCTTCTTTTTTGTTGTTGGAAAGGCAGATATACAGAGAGGAGGAGAGACAGAGAGAGAGGAAGATCTTCCATCCGATGATTTACTCCCCAAGTGACCGCAACGGCTGGAGCTGGACCAATCCAAAGCCAGGAGCCAGGAGCTCGGAGCTCTTCCGGGTCTCCCACACACGGGTGCAGGGGTCGCAAGGCTTTGGGCCATCCTGCCTTCCCAGGCCACAAGCAGGAAGCTGGATGGGAAATGGAGCTGCCGGGGTTAGAACCAGCGCCCATATGGGATTCTGGCACATTCAAGGCGAGGACTTTAACCACTGCGCTATCGTGCCGGGTCCCACACTTTTCTTGAGTTCTGGTTGAAGTATCTGGAAATTGGATCCTGGTGTATCTGGATGCTGTCTGTACCTGAGAGCATGCTCAGCTTGCCAGGAGACCTGTGAAAGATCAGTAAACAGTCTTAATTACTTGCTACCACGAATAGGATCCTGATCTCTTCATAGAAGTCGAAAGACAAACAACAGCATCTGGGCAATCGGAATGGAACTGCTGTGGCCTCTTACCTTCCCACAAGAAGAGTTTCCTGCTGATGGCCAGAAAGAGCTTCAAATCCAAGACAGGAACCAACAGTATTGTTCTGGTTCTTTGGTGCACTCTAGGTTTATTGATTGTTAGTCCTAAGTGCACAAATGGCAGACACTTGGGAGAAATTAGGACAAATCTAAAGGGCAGACCACTACCTGTCATTGGACAGCCTGAGAGGAACCAAAAACCGAGCGAGCAGTTACTGTGCCACTACTTTGAAGAAAGGACAGAAACACAGCAGGAGAGAGGGCGCCCCAAGGGGCTAGGACCTGAGGCTGAGTGCCCATGGTTCTGCACGCAGTTAGCTGGAGGCTCCTGAGCAGGGCACAGTCTCACAGGCACCTACCGAAGTGAAGAGAATGTTCAGGCCACATGTACTAGTGCAGTAACTTGGATGGAAGGTCTTGCTCCCCAAATGGCAAGCCCCCGGAAAGCTCTGAAAAATCCACTGGCTCACACCCTACCTGCTCTTTCCATCCCTTTCTCAATGCCATGGGAAAAATATTTGTAGCAACAAAGATGTTACAATTGACTTGGAAAAGCTTTCTTGGCCAGTCAATCCTAACAAATGTTTATTGAGCCATCATTTGTCTGGCTGGGCTAGGTGCTAGTGTAGGGCAGATGGTGGGCTGCTGGAGAGGGAATGGGAGTGACTGGATAAACAACAGCCCCTTCCAAACCTGTTCATTTACATATGTAGAAGTTAAGTTTTTAACAAAGGCCTGACCTAAAACATTTACTATCTGGATCTTTGCAGAGGAAGACTCAAAATTTGTTTTTCCATTAACAACCATATTGAACAAAGCAATCAGCCTGCCCTGAGCTCTCTAGACTTCTGGTTAACCCCTGTTAGTGCATGCTGAGTATTCGTTCTAATTCTAAGCTGGGAATGGGAGCTGCAGTGTAACTCCCGGATGCATTGATGAGCTCATAGATAGACAAGGGAATCTTCCCACAGGCTCCAGGCAACCAGAGACAGACAGGCGGACACACATGCACACAACAGTGGGAGGTAGAGCTCAGGGCTCAGCGTGACGGAATTTATTTAAAGAAAGCCACGCACCTACTGGTGAGGACTGGCCAGTCCTGGAGGTAGACAAGAAGGCTTGACCAAGTCACAGGTCCCAGGGAAAGCAAGGCATAGGCTAGGACAGTGCTGAAACTGATCCGTCTATTTATCTGGTTGCTCTTTGATTCTTTTCTGAGTTTTTTGTAGGTCTTCAATGGTGGGAGTGGGTTTGTGGGTAGAGTGAGCTTGGTGGCTAGGCACCCAGATCCGCTCCTTCTTGCTTTTGGGCTCTCTGTTGGGCACTGGCATCCCTAAATTATCCCTAAGGCTCTAGCGGACATGCCTGACTGTAGTTGGCAGAAGTCAGGCCAGATCTGGGTTGTGCTTCTGACCCACAGGAAGGAAAGGCCCTGGAGGTGGCCTTTTGCACAATCCTGGGACCTTTTCCTAGGCTGAGCCTAAGCTTGTCACCCTGTCACTCTCAGTGGTGATGCTATGTCCCTTTGCACTGCAGGTGGGCATTCCTTCAGCTGTGCCCCCCCCCCCCCTTGGTTGGAGCAGCTGGGAACCTGATCTCAGCTTGTCCCAGTAAATTCCGACTTATCCCTTCCCAAAGACCTCCCCACTAATTACCCCCACCCCCTCTATTGTCTGCATGTTTTCACTTTCTACTCTCTTCCCTTCCTTTATCAGCATTTCAATACCTCTGCTAATTTGGGTCTCCAAAGACATCCCTCTCCCTGCAGCAGCTTCTACCATCCCTTCTCTTCTCCCTCTCAACTCCTAACCACCAGTGAGCCATTGTCTTCCTTCTTGGGCCCCTGGCTTCATTTACCTCTCATCCTAATTCCATAGCTCTCACCTTCAGCCTTGTCCCAGAACACCTACTGAGCGTTTTGGAGTGTGCCCCAAGATGCATCAAGGCCCAGCCGAAATTCTCTCCCATCAAACGTCTCTCTCTTCGGGTTCCCAATTCACTAGATACCTGGGTCTTATCCTGTAACTCCTTGTCCTCCCTTGGCGTCCTTCCCCCACCCCAGACATAGCCTTCTCATCTACTTCCCCACTGAACAGCTCTCCTGCTAGCTTATTTGCCTTGCGAAGTCTGTAGGGAGCTAGCTGTGAACACACACTGGACCTGGTGCCTCCTCTCCCTGGCTTGTGGGTGACAAGGAAGCTCCACAACACTCCCGGCTTCCTGGGCCTGCTCTAGGTCAGCCTGACCACTCTAGCTCTCAGTTCTCACACTCTCACCTTCTAGACCATGTGATCTGGAGCTGCCAAGGCAGCCACGGTCAGGACTCTAAAAATTCAATATCTGTTTAGCTGGCTCATGTTTGTGTTGGTGATTTTGTACAGCCTGTGAATGATGTTAGAAATATCCACATGGCCCTGGGCCTGTGCCCCCTGCTCCATGCTCCCCCTTCTAACCTAAGCCCCTACGTTGGTGGCTGAGGTCTCCAGGTACCTAGGTTTTCTCCAGCAAGCCTTCTCTGCACCCCCTTTCTCCTTTGCC